ATTTGGAACTCGACCCCTTCTATTCACACCTGACAGAAGCAAGGGGGAGTGCGCTTGAAGCACATGCGGATCTCCTTGCACTTGGTTGGATTTAGCTGTAGATGAATTTCCTGAGACCAATCGTGGATGTAGTCAGCCGCTTGCTGAAGTGAGCTGTGCTTGGAAGCGGGAACGACTTCAGAGGCCGTTGTGTCATTGGTGAATTTCCACATGTGGAACCCTTCTGGGATACGGAGATCGTTTACCATCGCCAGAAATAGCCATGGACCCAAACGGGTTCCCTGGAACACTCCAGCAGGAACATCTAACCAATCAGATAACACTCCATTTCGTTTCACCCTCTACTGTCTGCTCCTTAGAAAATCGATCACCCAGTTCGCAACTGTAGGTTTCACGCTAAGACTCAGAAGCTTACCGACCAATATATGGTGGTCAACGAGGTCGAAAGCTTTTCTAAAGTCTAATATGGTAGTCCTTACAGTTGAGCCGGTGCCATCAGTAGCGTGTAGCCAATGATGGAACATGAAGATTAGAGCGAACGCGATAGATAAGCCTGGAATAAATCCAAATTGTGCGGGATCGATGGCTAATAACAGTACCGGTTGCAATTCCTTATCGATAACAGAGCCCTCCGCAACCTTAGACAAGGTGGATGTCAATGAAATGGGTCTTAGGTCTTCATTGATGTCGTTGACTGTAGGTGCCTTGGGGAGAGAGGTGGAACTTGGGCAATCTTCCAAGCCTGGGGAACTTTTCTTTCAGAGAAAGAGGTTTTAAGGGTTTCTGCAACTGTTGTTGCCAGAATATCTGCATATTCCGTTAATACCCAGTTCGGGAGATCTTCCGGCCCACCGGCACGCGCGCTGCTGATTTCATGAAGTTTGAGCGCCACCGAGTGTTTATTGACTGAAATAGGCTGATCGTCGTCCATATCCACGCGCTCACAGTCAGTTAAGGGCGAATAATCTTCCATGACGCTGACGAATGCCCTGTTTATTTTGTTCGCAAGAGTAAACTTGTTGCACACGAGCTTGGGGTGAAGAATAGAAGTCAAGCCACGCCCTGCTGTTTTAGCAGACCCATAAAGCTGCTTAACCCCTCTCCACCAGTAGCGTCGTTTGGAACCTTGCAAGTCCTTAACCTTACATTCTTAATACACCTTACCACAGCGCTTGCGCTCGCGGTTAACTTTATTCCTAAGGATCTTGAATAGGGGCTGATTTCCAAAAGCAAAGGCCTTTTGGCGACGGGTAAGGAGCTGCTTAAGCTGCGTTGACACCTAGGGACGATCCGTCGAGTGGATTTTAATGGAGCGCACAGGGATAATTGTGTCCAAACTGTAGTTGATAACTTCATTCAGCAGCGACAGCTTTCCTTCACATGACTTGTCAGACGTCAGCAAACTCGACCAGGGGATTCCCATCGAAAATCGCCCAACACTATTGACTTTGCTAGGGCGCTTGTCTCTCGACCTTGCTCTTCGGCTTCGAGGCGTTACCCGTCCCAGAACCTATGTTAATAGTCACGTGGTCAGACAGTCCAAAGGGAGGTAGGCGGTGAGGGACCGATGATTAGTCATGTAAGTTGGTGAAAATCTGGTCCAGAGTCCTATCACCTCTAGTTGGAAATTTGACAGTTGGTTTCAGGTTAAACGATTTCACCGCTGACTGGATTGTAGGAAGGAAAGTTCTATTGAAGTCACCAGCCAAGATAAAGGCACAGTTGGGTAGGTTGCCTCCAAGGACGCGAGTGACGATATCTGATAATCCTTCATTGCCGCGTCGTCGGCGTCAGGGTACTGATGGACCACGCCCACAATGATGTTGGAAAAACCACGCGGAGGGAAATTTTGTAATAGTTACAAAACAAGGTAATAATAAATAAACCTCAGGGCCTAGTTGTTCAAACACCGATTAGCACTAACCCTGGGTTAAATTTTAATCCAGGCTTTTCATTTCTCTATCCAACACCTCTTTAAGCAAAATTTTCACTAGTCTTTTAGGAGAAACCAACCATCAAATTTTGGACAAAACAGTTCAACTGAATTTTTGTTTTAAAGCATTCAGATCTGAAATTAAATTTCACACTAACCCTAGGTTATCTTAACCCAGCTTTGAAAAACCCGACCCAGATGTCTTAGGAATCAAAAAGATTTTGGCGGGGAGGGGCAAGGGGAGTTAGCTCATGAGGTGGATAATTCTGAAAGAATGAAATCAAGGCTATTTGGTCTAAGAGGGAAAAACATCAGCTCATGTCATGATCATGTTTTTTTTGGTTTAGGTCCTACGATTCTGTTATTTCCTTCCATTTACCTTCATCTCTTTTCTAATGACATTTTTTAACATTCCAAGCAAGAGTCGTATTCAAGAACTCGAGAATTCTTCAAAAGATTTACTGAAAATTCTAGTATACCTAATCGTTATAAATTTTTAGTAAAAATATGATTATCAGATGATAAGTGAGTTTCTTTACCCAAGAGGAACTAGGGAGCTTATAGGAAAAGAAGCGCTCGTGCTTTAATCGATGTATTGCTGCGCCTGGTCGCTGCATTTGTTCGGTATTCCGCTGCTGCTTAGAAACTCAAGCTTTAACAGAAAACATTCAAATAAACTCTTTTTTTATTGCTATTTACAATGTTTTTTTTTAACATATTTACATAATTGTAGGTTGTATTTTAACACTGTAAACTCTTTAAATTTTTTATTCCTTTTTTTTGATGAAATAAAGGCTGCTTTTTATCTACCTTCTGCGTATGTACAGATATCAACTGCGCTAAAAAAAAAGGACAAATGCACCAAAGCCGGACACGAAAACCCCTAAAAACCATGCAGCGGCTGGAGAAAAGTGGGGAACGTGTACCCCCGACCAAGGCAGTGGTGCTTCCCTTGGGGTTTTAGGGTTTCCTACACAGTAACATCACTTATCCAGATAAATTAATGTCAGTATATAAAAATATAATCCTTGGAAGAGCATTAACTGAAGCTTATTTACTAAAACAAAATACTTCAGAGGCAGAACTTGGTCTAAAGGCATACTAGCTGATCTTAAGAAAGCAATGAAGAATTCCTTCATGATTTTGGCATTGCCGCAGCACAATACTAAATCTGGAAATTGCAATTTCTACTGAATACGCCCACCTTAACTGATAATTACTCTTTTCGATGAAAATGATAATGAACCGATAGTTAAAACTTTCGTATTCTACTCGAGCAGGGAACAACTGCGAAAATCTAAGATAGCTGTCATGCCTCAAAGAAACAATTCTAGATTAGACAATAATGCGAAATCGTCGATATCAGTTCTTTCCATTAAAGTTTTGAGATACTCTGCCTTGAGCGGTTCCTTTCAGTGCTTGAAGGGCGAGGACGCAAAACCAGACCCAGTGTTCTTTGACGGCTACCATATGGGGTGGCTTGTTGGAGAACCGACGCCTGCTAGATCATGCAGCCACTTGAATGCATGGAAAGAGTGACTGATGCAGAAACCGATTTGCTTAAATTGAGCAAATACTGCAGAACCAAAGCACAATGGATGGGCTCCTCTGGAAATGGTCTGATACTAAGACATCAGTGGCAGCAAGTGTAATGAGGAACGTCCCAAGGGCCACA